ATCAGGGGAGATTGAATATACGTTACCTACTGACAAGTTTGACAGAGCAGAGAAAGAAAAAATTTATCAAACTGAAATGGCAAACAATGCAAATGAACTGGAACGGTTGCGCAATTTAGTAAAGGAACTGGAGGAGAGGGAAGTGAAGCTTGAGGGTGAATTGCTTGAGTACTATGGTTTAAAGGAGCAGGAATCAGATATTATTGCATTACAAAGGCAGCTCAAGATCAAGACAGTTGAAATTAACATGCTGAATATTACCATCAACTCTATGCAGGCTGAGAGGAAGAAGCTCCAAGAAGAGATTGCACATGGAGCTTCTGTAAAGAAGGAGCTTGAGGTGGCAAGGAACAAAATCAAGGAGCTACAAAGGCAAATTCAGCTTGATGCTAACCAAACAAAAGCTCAGTTATTGTTTCTCAAGCAACAAGTCTCCGGTCTTCAAGCAAAAGAGCAAGAAGCCATCAAGAATGATGCTGAGGTTGAGAAGAAACTGAAAGCTGCAAAGGAGTTAGAAATGGAAGTTATGGAGCTTAGGAGAAAGAATAAAGAGCTTCAACATGAAAAGAGGGAGTTAACTGTTAAACTGGATGCTGCTGAAGCAAAAATAGCCTCCCTTTCCAACATGACAGAGGTAAGTCCCATTGAACTCTCCTATGTATCATATTCTCAACTCAGGTAATGGGTTAAGAGCCCTTTGGTCCTAACTATGTAATAATTTGCTGAGCATGAGCAACATAAGAAAATTCCAGACTGCTGAGGAATTCGAGCTACTTGGTGGGTTGGTCTGCCTGAAAACAAACATTATCGCATGTAAATTTGATCTAGATGACTATTAGTCAAATATTTTATTGAGGATTTTCAGGAAAGGCTTAGATACGGATTTTTGAAAATGATTTAACAAGTTAAACAAATCAAGCCTAGGCTGTGTGATCAGTAATAGCATAAATGTTCTAGTTTGGGCATGTACATGATTCTTTCTTTTCTCTGTCTCATGCTGTCACAGACTGAAATTGCTTCCAGGGCAAGGGAAGAGGTCAGTAATTTAAGACATGCAAATGAAGATCTGTTAAAGCAAGTGGAAGGACTTCAGATGAACAGATTTAGTGAAGTTGAAGAGCTAGTGTACCTTCGCTGGGTCAATGCATGCTTAAGATATGAACTCCGAAACTACCAGGCACCTGGAGGAAAAATATCAGCTCGTGATCTCAACAAAAGTCTGAGCCCCAAGTCTCAAGAGAGGGCTAAACAGTTACTTTTAGAATATGCGGGATCGGAGCGTGGGCAAGGAGACACAGATCTTGAAAGCAACTTCTCTCATCCATCATCTCCTGGGAGTGAGGATTTGGAAAATGCTTCTATTGATAGTTCCAACAGTAGATATAGCAGTCTCAGTAAGAAACCTAGCTTAATCCAAAAGCTGAAGAAATGGGGCAAGAGCAAAGATGATTTAAGTGCTCTTTCATCTCCAGCCAGATCCCTCTCTGGAGGCTCTCCAAGCAGGACTAGCATGAGCCACCGTCCTCGGGGTCCATTAGAAGCACTTATGCTGAGGAATGCAGGTGATGGTGTTGCAATCACAACTTTTGGTAAAATGGAGCAGGAACTTAACGATTCCCCTGAAACACCAACTCTTCCAAACATTAGAACACAAGCGTCTTCTGGTGACTCTCTGTATTCTGTTGCAGCATCATTCCACTTAATGTCTAAATCAGTAGATGGAATTCTAGAGGAAAAATATCCTGCTTATAAGGACCGTCATAAGTTGGCCATGGAGAGGGAGAAACTAATAAAGCAAAAAGCAGAAAAAGCAAGGGCAGAGAGGTTTGGCAACAAGTCAAATTTCAATTCAAACTTTGAGTTTAGAGCAAAGGCAGAAAGAGAGAAAACTGTAATTCTACCACCCAAACTTGCCCAAATAAAGGAGAGAACGGTTGTTTCTGGTGACTCAAGTGAGCAATCCAATGATGATAAGGCTGTAGATTCTCATTTGATAAGCAAGATTAAACTTGCTCACATAGAAAAGAGACCACCAAGGGTGCCCAGGCCACCACCTAAGCCAGCTGGTGGCACTTCTGCTGGTGTGAACACCACTACAACTGGACAACCTCCTGCTCCACCTCCACTACCTGGTGCCCCACTGCCACTGCCACCGCCACCTCCTGGTGGACAACCACCTCCTCCTCCTCCTCCGGGAAGCCTACCTAGAGGGGCAGGCAGTGGCGATAAAGTTCATCGAGCTCCTGAACTTGTAGAATTTTATCAAACATTGATGAAACGAGAGGCAAAGAAGGACACGTCAACTATGATTTCTACAACATCTAATCCATCAGATGCTAGGAGCAACATGATTGGAGAGATTGAAAACAGATCGTCATTCCTCTTAGCTGTGTGTTAAAATTTTCCTTTCCTTTCATTTATCTGCTGATCTTCAGATAAAGTGTAGCTATCAAACTTAACAGCATGATATTGTGTGAATGGATCTAGGTAAAAGCTGATGTGGAAACTCAAGGTGACTTTGTCCAGTCCTTGGCAACTGAAATTCGAGCAGCTTCCTTCACCAACATAGAAGACCTGGTGGCTTTTGTAAATTGGCTAGATGAGGAACTTTCATTCCTGGTATGCAATAAAATATTCACTAGCTAAAATATGTATTCATCTGTCCGAGTTACTTATGGTTGAATTCAGAAGAGATCTTATTGCATAAAAGAAGTACAGATTTTTTTAGGTAATATGGCAGAAAGATGCATCTTGGATCTAAACCAGGGGTCTAAGACACTTGCAATGTTGCTCTTCATAGTCAGCTCAATTGTTCTACCAAAGACCTAATGTCATTGCTTTAACTCATATTCTGGCAAGGTGTATTATAAATGAACCCCAGATTCACTGGAAATTGTCTGTCTAGTGTCTACCATATTGACTGAATTATCTTCCTGCATCTGTATAGGTTGATGAACGAGCAGTTCTCAAGCACTTTGATTGGCCTGAAGGAAAGGCTGATGCATTAAGAGAGGCAGCTTTTGAACACCAGGACCTAGTGAAGTTGGAGAAGCAGGTCTCTTCCTTTGTTGATGATCCCAACCTCCCATGTGAAGCTGCTCTGAAGAAGATGTACAAGTTGCTTGAAAAGTATGTTGATTTGGGTCATTTAGTTCAATTTCAGAACCTTTGGGGCAATAATCTACTCAAAACACGAATAGAATGCTACTAGTTTTCCTTTAGGAGCATTTCAGTATTAATTAACAATCTCTTAGGATGATAGAGATGCACTTTCTCTTGTCATATACTGTCAGGAGGTTAGTCATTTTATCAATTCTGATTTTCTATTTCATTTTTTGTTTTTCAGAGTGGAACAAAGTGTATATGCACTCTTACGTACAAGAGACATGGCTATTTCACGATACAGGGAGTTTGGAATTCCAGTTTATTGGTTGTTGGATTCTGGGATTGTTGGCAAGGTATGAATCAAACTATGAATTCAAAGGTTTGGTTTGGTCATTGTATACGTGTTATTTAATTCATGGAACTTCCACTTCTCTAGTGGCAAATAATGACATACAGAAGGTAGCTAAGTGGCACCCTGTTATGGCAATGTAATAGCAAGTTGATCAACACTACTATGTTATGCTAATGTTCAATGATGCCATTAATAAGGATTTGGATTATTAGAAGGGCCATAAGGAAAATTTTATATTTCTGTCAGTTTGACATACTTTTCTAGATATTGAAGTGTTCTTACGATTTAGAAGTTGCATAATTTGTTGTATGCAATTAAGGACAGATGAAATACAAATAGAAAATTAGCATGTACTTTGTACTACTATATAATGTAATTGCCGTTTTCTGTTTTCTTTTTGCATATTGCAGATCAAGCTTTCATCTGTACAATTGGCAAGGAAATATATGAAACGTGTAGCATCAGAACTTGATGCATTGAGTGGAGCTGAGAAAGAACCAAATAGAGAGTTTATACTTCTCCAAGGCGTCCGCTTTGCTTTCCGTGTTCATCAGGTATTTTACTTTGCACTTGGTTCTCTTGGTATTAACTCTTAAGCATCAAAGCTAAAGGTTCTTTATTTCTATTTTTTAAGATGTCTAGTATAGGATACTCATGTACTTGAACTGGATTTGGTTTGTGTATGGTTTGACATCTTTAATTTCCATTGAAACCCAAATTCTGAATATGTCCAGTCAAAAGAACTCTTATTGCTTTAAGTAATGCTCTCAAATTCTACTTGAAAAATAGAACTATTTGAGGAAGAAACTTGTTTGAAACGTTCAAATAAATGACGCCTTGGTTTCTTTCTTTTACTCCAGTTTGCAGGGGGTTTTGATGCAGAAAGCATGAAGGCTTTCGAAGAACTTAGGAGCCGCGTGCATACACAAATGGGAGAAGACAATAAGCCAGAAGCATGATATAATACTATTTTTGGCCTTTTTCATTTTCTTTTCCTTGTTTCTCCACTTCTCTGTTGTATATTGCTTTTATACTTACAATGCATTAGAATTTATACATAACTCCATATACATTGGATATACTGTAAAATGACCTCTCTAGTTCAATTAGAAAAGGGAGACCAAAAAAATATGCTTTGATGTCAAAATTGCACCTGAATAGAAAAATAACAAAAAAATGGGGAGTTTATGTGCAGGCCGTTTCTGGCCCTGCTGGACAGATACCTTGAAAAACATGATCCCAGCCCGGCCCCTCATCCACACAATACTTATACTACTAATTGAAGACTTGAAGTAATAAAAATATTTATTATATTGATATTTTAGAATTCTAAGATAAAATTATTTTCATTTTGAGCCGAATTTTGAAATAATCCGTTCGTATTCGTTCCTTTGTTCTCAATAAATTGCTCATGTATGGTTTTATATCACTTAGTTGGATGATATCATATATATGGAAGTAGCAAGTTATAATTAACAGCAGGTATCTTATAAATTAGATTGACAAAACTATATATATATATATGTATATTAATACTCTACAAATCAAATTTTGTACAAGAAACGGCTAGCTCGTAAGTTTAGCTACTGGAAGCGAAAAACGCAGCAAGGGACTTGCCCCTGGTGACCTTTGTGGTGGCTCCGAAACCTGATTTCCATAGCTATCATAGTATATTACACCTGCAAATTCTGGTGGCCTGCATTTCTCGCCCATCAAAATTGCCTTCTGCCACAAACCACCTCCTCCAAATCCCCCCTCCTCTAAACCTCCATTTCCAGGCTGCTTACCTTTCTTGCAGATAAATGGTTTTGCTTTGTTACCAATATTTGTCACAAGTTGCTTAGGCTTCAACAAGCAAGGTGACTTTGGTGCAAGTTTTGTATCAATTGCATCTTCCTCAAACTTTGGTGGAGCACGGCGTGTGTGCTTAGCACATAAGGCTACCAGAGCGGATACTGCGACAAACAAGCCGATTGCAAGGGGAATGGATCCCCACTGCTTGCTAGCGTGTTCAGCGACTAGACGGACCATCTGAAGGGCCTGAAGCTTGAGGCGTTACCAATTAATGGAAGATTTGGTTAGAGGTGAATCGAAGGTTTCTCTGAATTTATAGGTCAATTTATTATTACTTAGCCAGTAAGGTGGGGGATCGGGGACGAGTTTTCGATGTTTTTCTTAATGCCATTAACATCTTCATATATAAGCGTATAAACTTTGTCTTATTAATTTGTTGGGTATTAATATCTCCTGTTTTGTCATAACTGTGGGTGCGAGGCTTTATCCAGCATTAACAATTAATATATAGTTGACAACTGATATATTGTTCACTATATAAGATAATGGATGATTAGCGAAAGGTCACCATTTTTACATCCCAATATTATGTATACATATAAAACATCCTCTTAACAAGTTTTAATTCATATCCTTAGAAGTGAGGACATCTATTTGAATTTATATATCGTAAATACAAAAAATCAATTAGAAGTTGTTTCAATTATTATGATTTATTCAATTTCAAAGATAAAATATTTATTATAAACTTTTGATTTTTTATCGACATTAATCTTAAATGTACACTCCCTTCCTAATAATAAAACACATCTTGCCTTAACTTTGAAATTAAACGAATATATGTGTAATATAAGAAAGAAGAAAAGAAAAGAGGCAAGGCGGCCAACATTGTAAATGTGAAAGTTTTTTTTTTTTTTTTGGCATATTGTAAGGGGAAGGGGGCAGTTGAGTCAAGGCAAAGGCAGTGTGAGGTAGACATTCTTGGCCTTTGCAGATCTATATCTTAATTTGCTCCATTTTTTTTCCTTTACTTAATAGGGTTGTTTGAGAATTGCAGCTTAATTCTATGCGACAACTCCTCCAACCACTTCCTAGAACTAGTTCAAGTCGTGTTTTTGTCACACCTAGGTTGGCAATTTGAGTTGCAATTAATAAATTAATTTGGTTGAAAAGCATGCATGCTCATCTTTTTCTATTAATAACTCTTCCACTGAAATATTCAAGCTGTAATCTATTTAGCTAGCTAGTAAAATTAATATTGTACATAACCTGTAATTTTCAGATCAATTAATCAATTTTGGTCTGCAGGCATTGTTATATATATATGTTGTCAACAATTAATGATAGCTAACATGATAACTTGAATGCTAATTGTATTACATTAATTACATATTAATTGTTCAATATCAAATGCTAGCTAGCTGATGTTGAGTTTAATTGATTGATTCATTTAAGTGAAGTGTGTGTTCAATCTTTTGAATGGAAAACCTTTCGGTTAATTAGCTGGGTATATATACTGTTTATGGTTTAAGTTAAACATCTTTAATTTTCATTAGGTGGCCAACCTATCTTTCATGCACTAAAAACGTTGCTGTCAAATTATATACAACTTGTAAAAGCAGGAGTGATGTGATGAAGCTAAAAGATGCATGATTATATATAATTATTAATTAGGTAATTAATCTTAATGGGCAGTCGGCAAATCCTCCCTTTGATAATTTAGTAAAGCATGTGAAATCAGCGGCTGTACGTGAGTAGACTTAGGCTCTATTTAGTTTTCACTACATTTTCGATGTGATATAATTTAATTCATCATCGTTAAATCTAAATATTAATTCTAATAAAATCTATTCAGTATAAAATTTTTATTACTTTTTCAATTATAACTACAATATTTTTTTTTCAAATTTCAATTATAATAATTTTTATTAATGTTTTTAATTTTATCGAAATTAATCTTATCATTCATTCAAATAAAACATTAATATGTGTCTACTCTTTGGTTTCTTTATTCTTTAGTTTGTTTGTTTTTTAAGGATGACGATCGATTGGGGGGGGGGGTTTGTTTTATCGAAATTGTATCATATTATTAATTTTATAATTATAAGGTAGATTCATGTAAAACTGTGTGCTGCCAACTGATGATACATATCTCCATTTTTTCCTTCTAAATCTCTAAATTTCAAAATCATATCATATATTAATTAATAGAAGATTACAAGTTATAAGCGTTAAAGAATTGGCGATGAGAGAAGCTATAGCCAGCCAAATACTCAGATGAGCATTCTGATGAAACCACCGTTAGAATTTGAATTCAAAAACTTTTAATTATTTGAGATAATTAATTCATATCACTTATAAACTCTTTTTTTTTTTAAAGTGCCTGCAAGTTAGATGAAATTATTTTATTTTCATGAGAAACCTCAAGTATGAAAAAAAAAAAAAAAGAATGTCTAAATGATAAGTAATTAATCTTAAAATAAAATCCCATATTGATTAAATTTGCAGTCCATATTATTGGATCTTAGATATATAATTTAATTGGTATTTTGTAAATATAAAAAGCATTTTTTTGGCATATTGCCAATTAGTTTCAAATTAAATATTCATCCTATTTTTTAATATGGTCAACGCTTAAACTACATTATAACATAAGGCAAAACTTTCTCTAACTCAAATTAATAATTTGAAACTCAAGACCCTCTTAATTAATTAATTAAGGAAATGGAAATGAAATCAGGACGTGATAGTTCTAAATTAATTGTGCCCTAAATTTGTCACATCCAAAATTCCAAACACATTCATGGAAAAAAAAAAAAAAAGAAAGAAAGAAATGAAGAAAAATACTTTGGGGATGCTAGCACTTCCTTTAAACCAAGTGGAGTGACCCATAGGCCATAGCCATAAAAAGGACTAGCAATGATAGAAATAGCACATGCATGCGAAAATTAAATGAGTGGCCATCACTAAAATCCTCACCAATTGGACAAATTTTCACACCAAAATCTTAGATACAAAATGGGTAAATTTAATTCTAGATGTAGGGCATCAATGGGAGAGTGGAACCGTGGAACCATAGCCATTACAAATCCACCACATGGCACCAAACCATCACGAGAAGTGAGAACAAAACACACTTGATCTTTAATACAAAGCAATTCATCCTTTTACACTAACCAAACTCATTAACAAATGGAGTATATTAATCTATATCTAATCAATTATAATCAATTCTTTTACTTTCTTAGCAAAAAAATATGATGGTTAATTATGGTGTGTTAGCTGATATTGTTCTTGCGTTGCGTCACAGCCACTCATGTTTTCTTTGAAAAATCTCACGACAAAAAGCAAAATGAAATTAAATCAAGTATCAAGCATATATACTCATTGCCGATAATAATCATGAAAATCAATATGTAAAACCCTAAAATTAACGTATATAATACCATTTGTCTTAGGACTACATTTACAAGCTTAATCTCACAAGAAAACTATACATATATAATGATCTGTATGATCCAAAAGCAATTAAGGTTTCATAGAACTAAAGGATGACCAAAAATAATCAGAAGAAAAGACAAAAGCACCATTATAAAATATACTAAAATTTTTTTATTATTGCTACTATCAACCTGTTTTTCTTTTTGGTTTTTTTTTCGTTCCCCCTGATCAGAAATAATAATAATCATCAATGATGCAATGGGTTCGGACCAGTCGGTACAAGGCGCTTTTCGACACCATAACGTGGATCAATCTCTTTATCAGCAAGCTCCGATTGTTTTTTCATGTTTGGAGGATGTTTAGCCTGCTCCTGTTGATGATGCTTTTGAAATGGAGTGAAGTCAAATTTGCTAGCACCAACTTTTCGACTGATCAAAGGGTTATGAGAAAACGAGGAAAATGTTATGGAGCTGGTTTGTTTGCTATTAATTTTGAACTTGAAATTGTTAAATTCATGAAGCAATAACAAGAGAAGGGAGAGCCAAAGAATGGTGAAAACCAAGTGGGAAACTTTCCAGGCCATGGAGAATGAGTAGCAGCAGAAGGGTTAAAAGGGGAAGCATGGGGCAGGAAATGAGGAGAAACACAAGGAAGAGAGTTTAATTAGTAGATATTGAAAGATTTGGGAAGCTTGACAGATTGAATCTAATGGACAAAATGTGTAGGAGGGGAGGGGTTGAAACTTGAAAGCTGAAATGTGTGTGGAGCATTTCGTCTTTCATGTGAGACTTGATGGCACCTTTTTAATGCTAATTAATTGAACAAGAAGGGAAATAGGGAGGGGGCGGTAGACCCTTTCTCAATGACATTAAAGTTCCTTAGAAATCAAGGAAAAAGAAGCGGTCGCCATTATTAAAAGGTTGTCAAACCTTGAATAATATTAAGTTTGATCATGGTTATTATTAGTAATCTTTTGAATATCTTTGACGCACATCTAGGAATATAATGAATAAATGACACAATATATTCTTATTCTCTCTTTTTTATCTAGAATTCATAATGCAGGATGGGGTCCAAGGGAAGATCCCATGCTGGTTTTGAGTGAATTGCAACTAATGAAAAGGGTGGGGAATGTGCAATCCACATTTTCTATGGACAAAGCAATGTATGAACAGTTTCAGCAACAAAAAAAAGGTTGGTGAAGGTGAGATATATCAACAGTTCCAAAAGTGAAGATGATTGCCAATAATGTTTAATTATAAGCTCATATAATACTTGTTAAAATCACTTTTTTTTATTTTTTCCTTATATATGCAAAAAATTTTACATGCCATAAGAAAAAATTCGACAAATATTATATGTGGTTGGATTGGATGCGGATGAGAGTTTTGTCCACTTTTAATTTGATCATTTTATTGATGATTAAATATATTCATCACTTGATTTTCATTAGTAGAAAGATGCTCTCACACCAATGTAAGTGTTATTTTCTTTTTTCACCTTTAGATAAAAATGATTCAAATTAAAAAATATTATTTTAATCAAAATTAATTATTAATTTAATTTTTATCTAAAAATTAAAAAAGAATAATGTTACACTTACATTAATGTAAATGAATATCTATTTTTTTCACTATGCCTAAATGTTTTTTTTTTTTTTTATTTGTCTTATGGCAGTCCTTTTCCTTTACTTCACTCTTTCCTATTGAAGACAAGATTTAAGTCTGCTCCAATTATTACTTAACAACTTAACTTCGTTTGGCACATATATATAAATAAATAAATATTCCTTTAATAATCTCATTGTAGACAAGTTAAATCTTTTAGATAATTAAGTTGATATCTTAATGTTTAGAAACATGAATTATTAATTTCTCATATTCATATATATATATATATATCAATTAATTCTATAAATTGCATGCAACATACATGCAGCTTGTCATCTTTTAATTAATATTAGATTAGATATGAAGGATTTATCAGTCACTAAATTTACTTGTGACCAACTTGTCTATTGTTTTCTACGCATTTAATAACGACTCATCAACAGTACAATATTTTTGGGGGTATGATCGATGATTAAATAGCTATAATAATTTAATTTATTTATTTATTTTTGTTATTCCTTTTGTATAGATTAACTTAATTGGTTTGTTTAAAGGAAACAAAAAATATATAATTTGTAAGCAAAGATAGTAGTAAATAAAAGCAAACATTCGGTTTGAGAACAAAAATAATGACAGCCTTTATTTATTTTAATTATGGTATTAATTTGATAAGAGAAAAGGTGTGTGCTTGACAAACATATACAAAATGAATTTATTATATATTTAAAAAAGGAAATAATTATAATATAAGGGTGTGATGTTATCATGTGCATTGGATATTATTCCTTTTTTAGATTACTTTTTGGAATATAAAATTAAATATGTATGCCACATGTGAAATTGTTGAGTTTAATTTAATATATTTTGTGATTTTATAATTAGAAGATTTAAGAATAGAGTGTTGCAAATAATTTAATTTATATACCTATATTTGTACTTAAATCATTTTTTTCTTGTTTTTTTTATTTTATTTTATTTATTTTATAGCCGCGAAGAAAACTGTAGCCCAAAATCGACAATTTGGGCCACAACTTTATTCATGGGCCCACACTGAGACATAATAGCCCAAAATTGACCCAAGAAATCACCAAAAACTGTTTTCCTTGCCCCTTGCTGTTTTATATAAAACCGACTAAAATAAATATCGAAAAAGCAGTAAATCAAACCCTAATTTCCAGTATCCAAATCAGAAGCAGAAGAAGAAAATATGGTAAGCAAATTATTACCCCTAACTTTCGATTCGTTTAACTACAAAAATTTTTGTTTTTTTTTTTTCTAGAATTAGGGTTATTGTTATTCGAATGGTTCGTTATAGATCTTAGAATCTCTAGATAGTGATTGTCATTTAATTATATCATGTTGGTTTAATTTATATTAACTTTATTATTCTTGATATCTTGCCCCTTGAACTGCGCTGAAATTTCCATTTTTTAAAAAAAAATTAATATGAAGATGATGGCAAAGTTTTGTCATTAACCCTGCCAATTTCCGATTTTATATTTGTAGAATTTTGATCCATTTATGTTGATTTCATGATATTTATGTGGCTTTGGCCTTTAGTTTTAGAGCTATGTTTCAAGGGAAATATATTTTAGGTTGATTGCTAATATAAGTTGCAGCATCAACAAGTTATTTTGTGGGGAGGTTGGCATTAATACAGCTTGGGTTTTTTTTCTTTTGTCTCTTTTTGCTCCGTTGCCAATTAATTTAGAAATGCTTAACCCACTTTGTTTGTGCTTCTGCAGTCTTCGCTTGCAGCTGCTAGAGCAGATAACTTTTACTATCCTCCAGAATGGGACCCAAGTCAGGTATGCAGGGTTTAGAATTATTTTGCTTGCTGCATTCATTTTTGGTCATAAGAAAATATTTTGCTAAAATTAGTTATGATTTATGGCATATCAAATTTTTAAATTTTGGGATTGCTCTTCTTTTCAGGGCTCTTTGAACAAGTTTCATGGTCAACATGCATTGAGAGAGAGGGCAAGGAAAATAGATCAAGGCATTTTGATTATAAGGTAATAAATCAAACTCTTGGAATTTTTATACTTTTTTTTCTCAAATATGTTGTTTTATTTGCTTTACTTAAGAAACCAATATATCTCTATCCTATTAGACTGTGTAGCTGTGATAAACTAGGCTAAGTTGTGGCTGCATAGAGGTATCTTAATGTTTAGTGGTTTCTAGCGTGAAAGTTATATGTGGTAGATAGTGTACAAGCTTGCTAATTTTCTAAGTGACATAGTTCTCCAGCAGACTTGTTAAGAGCAAGTGTTGAACTATAAATGGGTTAATTTTCTTATGGGTTAATTTTCTTAATTGGTTTTGGTTTAAATGATCCTTGATAATTTTTGCTTTTGTTTTGGGAAGTTTATTTCTAAATGGTTATTGTAGGTTTGATTTTCCTTCTTGTTTTGCTTTCAGGTTCGAAATGCCTTTCAATGTTTGGTGTGGTGGATGCAATTCTATGATTGCAAAAGGTGTACGGTTCAACGCTGAAAAAAAGCAAGTGGGAAATTATTATTCTACAAAGGTGTCTTTTCTTGGTGATTGCATAAGCTACTCTTGAGTAATTCATTTAATTCTGAACTGGTGGAAGAGTTTCTCTGTGATTTGGTTTTGGTTAAAGTTGACTTAAATCTTTTAACATAAGCTCATTGGTGATCTGGTGTTTTTAACAATTAATTGTTTCTTTTAGATATGGAGCTTTACCATGAAGTCTGCATGCTGTAAACATGAGATCATCATTCAGACAGACCCAAAAAATTGTGAGTACGTGATCATTAGTGGTGCTCAGCGGAAAACTGAAGTGTTTGATGTTGAGGATGCAGAGACATTAGAGCTTCCTGCTGATGAAGGTATGTACTGAGTTATATGGATTTATAGATTCTTATATGATAACTACTTTTACCGCCGAGCTGCCTTTGCTTTGCTTGCATGCATAGTATTCTGGCACAATTTGTATCAGTGGCAGGGACCTAACTATTTGACAAAGTGCGAATCTCTCTATAACTTGCAATTAAAACGCACAGGTTGACTCACAGTGTTAAACCCATATGCGCATCTAATCTATCATAATACTAGCAATTTGGTCATAACATTGTAGTGACATTACTGGGGCTTACTCATTTTTTACGTGATTACCATTTTAAAGTTCCGGTGGATTTTGACGGTTAAATTCGTTGTTATGCAGAAAGAGGCAAGCTTGCAGATCCATTTTATCGTCTTGAACATCAGGAAGAGGATTTACAGAAGAAGAAAGAAGCTGAGCCAGTACTGGTTCGCCTTCAGCGAGTGTCTGATGCCAGGCATTCAGATGATTATGCGCTCAACAAAGCTCTCCGTGCCAAACTTAGAGTATGTTACTAATCTCAAATTAGTTTGTTGGTTTCATATTCTTATAGACTTGCTTCCAAGTTTTACTCTTTCTTTTTTCGTTCTCAGAGTCAAAAGAAAAGGGTTTTTGAAGAAGAATCTGCTTCGAAGAAAATGGGCCTAAGCATTCGACTCCTTCCGGCAAGCGAAGAAGATGCTGCTACTGCTGCAGGAGTCAAGTTTTCTTCCAAGTTTGAAAGAAATAGGAAAGATAAGCGAGCATTGATTAAAGCTGCTTCAATCTTCCCCGGATCATGTGGGTCCTCCACATCCAATAAGAAAAGGTTGGAGCTGGACTCCAAGAGAAGAAAAATCTGTGCAGCGGCAGCTTCTAACTTGCTGACAGGGGGATTCAAGCCATCGTCATGGTCACAAAATGCTGCGAAGAAGAGTGCTTCAACGAATATACGAAAGTTTTAGCTTGAATTATCAGACTGCTGTTTCGATTCACATAAGTTTGTAAGGCAGTTGGGACGGATTGAGTCAGGTACCCTTGGTTTTTCTTGTGCGCGACTGCGGTGGAGCATGTGTATAAATACTTCTACTGCTAGTTAACTCTTCCAACCTCTGGATTTAAGCGATCTATGTGGTTATATCAAATCATTTATAAATGGAATGGGCATTGTATTTGATGTGCTTATATTTAGAAAATGGAGTGAATATATATATATATATATATATATATATTACTTCCCACTTTTTAATTTTTTCCACACCATGCCAGTTAAATCAATTTTCTGCGCAAGACTCGTAGATCCTGCTCTTTTTCTTTTATCTTTGTCCAGCTTTTGAGTTGGCAATTGGCCAAGCCAGGATTTTGCATCTCATCTTTCATAATGGCCACAAAATTTTCTTCTTTTTTGACAAGGAAAAATAAAAAATTGAAATTTATGGATGTCTCATGGTATAAAACCTTTGTGAATGCTTACTAATTTTTTTCCTAGGTTGTTCCATTGAGAATTGACTCCATTTCCGTTTTTATCTTCTTCAACTGGATGTTGGGCCCAGCTGACGGCGATGTTGATGATGATTAGGCCGAAACCGCGTCTAGCCTGCACGGTCAATTGAACTTGAGGTAAACTATAAATCAAGCTGGATCTTGAGTCTTGACTGTGTCTCTTGGCAGAATGGGTTTCGTCTAGCTTAGATTGTCATTAACTCACAACACATAAACCAATCATAAAAAGGTCTAGCCTCGAGGGGCAAGAGTTTGTTATATTTATGAAGTTTTTGAGTAGATTTCATAATAGGTCATAGCTAGGTATGAGAGTTGCAATCCACAGCCACAGGAATTAATCCAAAGAAAGATTTGGAAGTTGAAAAGGAGCCTTTGGAAAATATATTTCATCTCGTCATTAATATCAGCCAATAGGAAAAAAAAAAAAAAAAAACAGAAATCGATCGCCACATGCAACAGGGGAATCACCTGACTCTGATCAGTGATCACCTCTCTCTTTGTCTCTCTCCCTCTGAAAATCGCAATAATTTGGTTTGCTAAAAATCTTCCCAACAGCGCATGGCTCTGTATACACACTTCCGTTTCCGTACATATAATGTGCAGTGAAAATGAATGAATTAGATGAAAACCCTAAAGAGGAAAAGATCGACGTTGCAGCAGTTGCTCTGAACTTCTGATGATGATGATTATCAGTAGTATTGTAGCAGGGACTGTCATCAAGAAGCTTAAATTCGGGCTCTGACACACCTTAATTATATATATATAGGCCACTGTATCTGTACTGCGTAAGATCTTCATGTCTTGGTTTGTTTGTTTGTGTAATAGCTTCAAATTCCAAATGCACTTTTTTTTTTTAATCTGCAGTGCTAAGTTAATGTGATGATGAACATCAAGCAACTGTTACATTTTTTTTTTATCAGCCGAGGAGGGGAGCAGTTTCCGTACTGCCCTTTAAATAGGCCATTTTCATGTTCATCTTTCTTGCGGTCTATAACACCTACCACTTCAAAAAGATCACGCAACTGACTAAAACGAAATCGAAAGTAACTAACCCCTTATAAAATATTAATACATTAAACAAAAAATTTTCACACACAGATGTTACGGATCTTTGTCAGTCTTTATTATTTTTCTTTCAATAAAAAAAAAAACTTTCACTGTCAGTACAAAAGCATCATTCGTATCCATAGATCTTATTTGACAGTATCTGGATTCTGGTTATCTTAATTTCTTTTGCTTTCCTTCCCTTACCATCTGCCTATATATATATATATATTATATATATATATAGTCGATACTCTCTCTCTCTCTCTCTCTCTCCCCAAAAAAGAAAAAAAAGGAAACAACTTGTGTTTCTATTTGCAGGACTCTCTGACTGGGTTTGTCGCTAAAATAGTTCAGCTCTTCGTTATTAGTATTTGTTTCCTCTGAACAGTCTCTTTACTTGGCTTTTCTTTAATTTCTTTGGCTACTTTCGGTTGTTCGCTAGTGAGCTTAGTCTTAAAACTGAAATGTTTTTGGCTATACGCTATAATATAATCTTTATTTATTATCGGCTGTTGTTGGTATTCTAGGGCTGTGGCCCTTGCCCACATTTGCACTTGCTTGATGCTTCGTGTACTTTGATATCATTCTTGTTCAAGCAATCTAGAAAACATCGGATCTAGAAATATATCATTGCAATCAGGTATTTGAGGTCAGTAAACTCCTTAGTTTCCTACTTTTTTTCCCTTTGTTTGGTCTGTTCTCCCCGTCTCTCTTGATTATATTTCTTGAGCATGCACTTACAGTCGTCTTTGGAGATCCAACACTGACAAAATGGTGTAAGAAAGTGAGTGTTGCGTTAAGAAAACATCGGGCTAGCCCTGTGTGCTTTGCATTTATCGGAATCTCTCTTTCTGCATGAAAATGTTTGCTTCAAAATTATACAGTTAAATGTTTATTGAATTGGTGCATGTTAGGCATGGCTGGTAGTGAAGCATCGACTGTACCCACAACTACACAATGCTTAGGGGTCCCACAGTAGATGAGTTGATGGTCTGATATCCATCTTTTTGATCTGCAGGACCCACGTCCAAAACGATCATGCAATAATGAAATGGGTTAAAGATCATTATCGCTTTTCCTTTTTTCTTTTAAAAACCAAATTCATCTCATCTTTGGTCTCTTGCGTGTCCATAGTTCATTTTCTGCTCTCTTCTTGGATTACACTAGCTAGCTACTTCATCCTGTTTAAAGAGATCAGATGAGTAAAAGCTTAATTAAAAGTAGAAAAAAGAACAATAATGGTGTGCTTTTTATTAGAGTGTGTGAAATACAAATACTCGGGACAGACAGAGGCCAGTCCATTAAAACAAGCAAAAAACTAAAGTTAAGCTCTTGACTTTTGATACGATTCCTACTTTTAACGATAAACTGCTGAGACGCTGAGAAGTACAGTTGCTTTCATTACTCCCTGCTATCACAACTTGCAGTACTAAAAACTATAACTATATAGTATATCTTCATTTATTTTAATCCTTTTTTTTTTTATTTTCCTTAAATATTACTATATCTTTGTTTTTTCTGAAATTTACATGCAGCTGATCTATTTTACTGTATTTCTCTACACGCGCGCGTATATATATATATATATAAATCTATATTTGATATATTGTTAATGTATAAATTTTTTTATATATTTTCATAAGTTAATGTAAATTAAATAGTAATTTTTTTGTCCTTTAAAATATTTATTAGTAGTTTTTTGGGCAGTAAACAAAATTTATTATATTAGTTCCTCAAGTAATTCATAGTAAACTTCATCTTTTTTTGTTTTTAAATATTCTAAAATTATTTGCTCCTTCCTTTTATATTAAAAAATTTTTAAAAAAAGAAAGAAAGGAAATCGGATTACGCGAAAGGATGCAGCCCAATATTGCCTAAGTGGTTAGTCGACAATGGGCCCCCATTAGCCCAATATTTTATACATTACCAGTAGCAATAGTATATGAATTTATACACGCCGTACGTATATCTGTTTTGATTTATGAGGGCATCGTATTCATATATATATATATATATATATATATGTTTAGCATTTAGCACGGTGGCCATAACAGTTGGCTTAGAGCACTCAAATAATATCAGTACGTACCTCTCCCTTTCAACATATATTTCAATTCAAATTGAACTTTCACTGTTAGCATAAATGTAAATGTAAATGTTGTTGATTCCTCGAATAACAGCACTACCCCAGGCCCAGGGCAGGTCGCAAGTGTTCCCTTCTCCCCCAACAAAGACTGGAATCTCAAAGATAGTTTTCTTTGCCAAGGTGCGGTTTGTTTAATTTCTTGACCCCCATCTTTTCCGCAATTCCCGTCTTTTTTTGTATTATATTGTTTGATCATCAATTTCGTGTAACCATTACTTTCAACAAGCTTTCAACAAGCTTTCAAGCTGATGCCGACAATTCCATTCGAGCTACTTAACTATGTCTGTCTTGAGTGATCCCCTTCTAACACAACTCTCAATAAATTAGATCACTCCATGTCTTCATCAGATACTTACCATGCATATTAACTATATATTATAGTATGCCCATATGACAGGTAGAAATTAAAGGATTTTGAATCCAACACAAACCATAAAATTTGTTATACTGCTGTGTTACATTGTATTGCATAGAAATAATTAACCAGATCGGTTAAATACTGAATGTTGTTTGTCTGTTACCTTGGGGTACAAAACAAATCAAAATAGGGAAAAAGATAAAACATCTAAAGAACAAAAGCCAGGCGATAACAAGAAGTGCCTGTACAGAAACCCCTGCACATTTGTATAATAATATAATTGCCAACTGGTAAATGGGTGCGCGTTAGAACTTGGAAATGTTTATTTTTTATTCCTTTTCTTTAGTCTTCAACCACCATCATAAATGGCTTGATATTTGAGGAACAGAACATAAATCCGTAGCTAGCATAATGCTTGTTGAGCTGATAAAAGAGTTGACACCCGTTACTGATTTGACTAATGTATACTAACAAAAATGTTTAGAGATGCTTCTCCATGAACAGTTCCTTTAACCATGATACATTTGATGAGGTATAGAATAAGATGTGTCCAGAGCTTTAATCTCAAAGTATCCATGTTGTGCTTCTGATTCTTTGCGCAAATGGAAGGCAGAAATTTTACTAGAAAACTATATATTCAGGTTTTAATGAGTCTGTGATTGAAGATTGAGGCGTCATGTCCACCTACAGCTAGTCTGGATAACATTAAAAATTATGATGTGATACCGTAAGATAAGATAATGAAGACAAGCTGGAAAGCTAACTAACTTGACATACAAGGACAGAGCAGCTAAGCTCCATGACAAAGACCAATCGTGAAAGCTTGCTATTCTACCTTGGGGGCAGTACATATACTGAGATGGTGCATATATAGAAACTTAAGCATGAAAGGGAAGATGTAGACTATGTGGCATGACCTGCTATGTTCAGGCAATAGTTATAAAAAATTTTACCTAGGATACAATGAAACTGTTAGACACTGAGGATTGACATGGATTTTCAGTAAACCCTTGAAAAAGAGTTTAGGGTTTCTTCAGACTTCTACAAAGAGATTGATTAGGTCGAAATCAATATAAAAGTACAGTTTTCTGTAACCTATTGTTCGATTTTTCAGCATGATGTGCTTTATTTCTTCTTAGATGACCAGGAAAAATGATACTTGATATAATTGTTTTAGATGGGCAAAGTAGAAAAGATTATGACTAGAAAAATCAACTTCATTCATGGTAATTAATATATATGTACTTTCTTGACTAATCAAGAAGAAGAGATGGAGAAAATCAAGTGAGATACCAAATAGCTTTAACTCCCTAATTTAACAAAGCATTTTTTTTGGTAGGAATGAATTCATGGGTTAGCAAAATAAATACCTGCCTTCCAGTCTTCAATGGTATTGATGCATATGTTTCCATCCAACCAAAGCTTCTTCTAATGACTTTGCAATATTCTCCTCAATTTCATTCTTGCTATGCCCATTTATGCATGGTTTGTGTTTTACATTTTAGAAAAACACAATATTCAAGGCAAGTACATCATTGGCTAATTTGGAGAAGTCACTTACATGTGTGTGCCTGATGATGATTCGACATTTTAGCAATATATATATATATATATATATATATATATTGCCCTATGTTCCATAGGGCTTATTTGATCTTATAGGTCTATAAATGCAATACGTTTACTTCTAAAGGTCATAAGGCTACATGCAGTTGGCCGGCGTACCAAAGAAATAAAGTTTAGAGCAGAGGGAGCATTAAGATTGTCAGACACTAAGGTATGGAAATTAAACTCTACTGATTAACTGTATTGATAATATTTTTTTTAAAAAAATCTGCTTGCTATAGCAGTCAATAGTAATTTCAATGTCTACCAAAGTATGAACCCGCAATATAACTTACCTTGGGGTAATCTAAGTTATTAAAAAGTTTTTCCAGATACTTTTCAGAAAAAAAGAAAAAAAAAAGGAAATCCTAAGTTTCCACAGAAGCATGTCCTGACATGATAGAAAACAAATTTTCTCCTCAGAGTTTTCTATTTTGCCTGATTAATTTGTCTCATTACTGTAAAATTGCATTCTTCACTTGCACTAAAAAGCACAACTTGTCACTTTTAACTCCTTTTTGATCGATAATCATACCTGGTTTGTTAGTTATCTAGACAATTTTTAACCAAATTTTTAAAGTTTATAACTATATACATTTAATTACTAATCCAGGTTAATCCTTCAATTACTTATTCTACCACTAGTGACTAGCTATAGTCAGAATGTTTCATTGTCAGTTTGTTCCATTATACTGTTATATATTGTTAGGAAGAAAGACAGAATTCATATAATAGGAGAAAATTTGGAAAAACAGATTTATTTCTACCTGAGATCACTAACAGCACGACAAGCAGTTGAGATGGTGAAATCTACATACAAATAACCAAGTCTTTCTGCCTACACTGCACTGAACTCCAAGAACTTTTGGTGATAAAAATGTGTTGCCCATAGCTATAAAGGTGCTTTAGAATAAATTAACTCTATAGGGAAAGAAAGTGAAGAGTGGAAATTAGCTCATTCTTTACAGTCTCACATCTCTAATTAACCCTAGCTAGTTATGGAACAGATAAATTCCTTCCTAGCTACTGCAAAACATGTAGAAAAGGCATCAAGAACTTGAGCACAATCTTTTTCATCAATGATTAATTGTATATCTCCTAGTTTCTTCTTTTCACCATTCACCCCTTAATCATATAACTATATATAACATGAAAATTTGTCTTCCTCATCAGAGACAAACTGGATAATGAATCCATTGTCTTGATTATTTTCAATAATATATAATTTGTCTCTGATTTAGCAGGCAACTTTATATCATAGTAATAAGAAATAACAGTCAGAAATACGAGAATGACCAACCACAAATTAAGTCAAATTCTGATAAACTTGATAGAAGATAAACAACAATACTCAATCCATTCCACCATTAATTAGCAGAGAGGATTCAATCACACAGAAAGAAATCAAGTGGAAGATAGCCGTACATTTTTTGTTTGACATAATTAGGAAATGGGAAGGGTTTATCAACATCTTCATTAATAAAAAATGCGGTTTTTGCTGGCAACAGCAGGATTTTCTTGGTAATGTGAATGCAAACCAATGTCTGAGGTGGACATGAGAATTGAAGTAGGGCTTATTCCTTCGTGGGCATTTGAGGGGTTCATCGAGTCTGAATTATGGTTCATTATTTTTGCATATGAGTTGACCATGGGATTTGAACTAGGGTTTTCCCCTTGGGTCAAAAAAATTGGACTAGACTTTTGCTCTTGCCCATTTGGGTCCGTCATGAAAATTACACTAGGGTTTTGTTCTTGGGCATTACCTGTTGATTCATTGATGTTTGTCATTGAACAGTAACTGTATTGGATTCTCTCATTGTTCATGCCCCAATAACCAGGAAAAACGGGACAATTTTCCTCTGAATCTGCAACGCTGTGTGAGTAATTAAACATGGATGACGATCTTGTGATGCCCAGAAATTTCTCAATGATGCTTACAGAATCCATTTGATGTTCTAGAGAGTGTAAAGTATTTTGGTGGTGTTGTTCTTCTTCCTCGGCCACTACCTTGCAACAAAAGTTTGGTTGAGTAGAGGGACCTGAATTTTCACCGGCTTCAAGGGGACTCGAAGACTGCAACCGGCCCAATTCATTAGGGTTCGGCTCATCCGAACTCGTAATTGATTTTTCAAGTCCTCTCATCTTCATTTTCTCTCTAGTTCTCTCCCTTGCCCTTGCTCTCGCCATGTCCCTGGATTCTCTAGCAACAGGATTGAATGAAACTTTACGTGATTTTCTTTCCTTTGTCTCTCTTGCTGCAGCTGCACTCATAGATTCACCTCTTGCTATAACAACTTGCTGGTCCCCCATATTGTCCTCGCACTCTTTGGCTGCTGATACCACTTCGCTTTCTGAGGTAGATGACACGCTCTTTCCACCTCCACTGCAGCTGTGCTTCACTCCGGGGAGGTTTTCAGTGAGTTCCTTGATAGCAGCCTTGGACTTAGAGAAGAGCCATTCTATAGTTTTGCTTGCTTTGTCAAAGCCTAACATATCCTGAAGATCAAAAAACTTACGGGCAATTTGAAGTGACAACCTCATACGCCGATCTCTTGGACCATGAGCTGTATAGATCTTGCTGTGTCTGTCTTTCTTTCCGGTTCTCTTTCGAGGAATCCCCTGCTTTGCTGCGTTATTGGCACTTCTCTTCCTGTTGGTGGTCACCTTTTTGGTTTCCTTTATTGGAGAAGCTGCATTAATCTCAGAATCCGGTGGCGCCATGTTGCTACTGGAGCCCAAGATTTGTTGCTGCCCTGGGGATAGCAGGTGACTCATAAGCAACCCATCAGCATCATCATCAATAAAGGGTGCAGAAAAGTGCCAGAAAGGAGGGGGAGGATCCTCCAGTAATGAGCCTGCAGCTTGTTTATCGCCTGAAAAAGAGCTTCCAGGCATGGTATGGGTCGTTAAGGGAAAAGGGTCGTAAGTGTTGCTTGAAGGAAACATAACTACAACAGAAGGAAGTACCCTCGGTATACCTGACGCTGAAATATCACGCTAGTAGCTGGTATTTATTGGAGACAAAAGTTTTTCTTCATCTTTTTTAAGGGGGGAAAAAGGTGAAGTGCAGGGCAGCTTAAAAAAAAAAAAAAAAGAGAATTGGAACTGTGGAAGTGAGTGGATGCGAAGCACAGGTGGTGGGAGGCAGAGAAGCTGTGAAAGTGAGGGGATATGAATATGAAGTTAGCCCCAAGCTCCGGTATTGTGACACTTCACGTGGGTGCAGGTAGGTGCTTGATAGCAACCCTTCATATTTCTTTCTCATTCTCTTTCTTTCTTTTCAGATAGAAAGATGAGAAAGAGAGAAATAGACAGTAAAGAATTACAACAAAGAGAGACTAGAAATGGCCACCTCTAGAAAACCTAGCTAGGGGTAAGGAAGATTATAGAGAGAAAGAAACACAAGGACAATAATTAATTATAGCACAACCGAGCAGATAGAGAGAGAGATAGAGCAGCATATGAATGTACATTTTAGAGTGTAGAGTCTACTTTTACTGGCCATGGCCATGGTTGGGCAAAGGACTTTGTTTGACTGGGAGACCAAATGTCGCTTTCGCGCTTCATTTCCCTCTGACTACTGCCTTCCCGTTCATTATTCATTGGGATCCTTCCAGCATTTTCCTTCTTCTTAAGCTATCTCCTAATTATTTCCAAAAGAAGTTAATCCATAATTCGTTTTGGTCTTTCCAAAAGAAGTTAATCCAAAACTCGCTAAAATTTGCACCCATATCTGGAGCAGGCATTAAGTTGGAAGCTAACATGCCTTTAGAATATCTAAACTTGATTGGCAACGGTTTTTTTTTTATTTTTCTGTCATTAAGAGAATAGCTAAATTTGATTCTTGTTGAGTCAATATAAATCTTTATAAAAATTTACAACATTCCCTGATATTGAAATGAGATAATTTTTTTGTCACTTAATTTTTTTTTAAATCTAAATTAAAAAAAAATTCAAACTTTAATTTTACTGAAAACCATCTCTAAGAGATAAATAAATAATTTGAACTAAGTCCTAGATTTAACGTGTGTATATTTATTATTATATATATATTTTAGGGCTCGATTTCTTACATTCCGTTGTAATAATTTGTCACTCAAGATAAATTAATAATAAAAGACTCCCTGGGTTCCACGTGTCTCATATATTGTGTTTTATTTTTTTACAAAGAAAATTATAATCAGTAAAAAAGAAGTTACATATGTTAAATTTAAATAACATATTTTATTAAATATTATCTCTTAAAATAATTATATAAATTAATTAAATTAAATTTTAAATTCATATATTATCTTATTTTGATTTTACACAAAATTTATGAAGTTTTTGAGTTGAATTTTGACTTTTATGGATTGTAAAGTTTTTTCTTAAATTATTTTTACTTTGAAAATAAGAAAAAGTAGGTAGGTATTGTTTAAAAGTAACAAAGAAAAGTAAAAATAATTTTTCTTTCTTTTTAATCGAGACATTTTTTGGAGACAAAAAAAAGTATACAAACAAGACATAATAAAAGGCCCAGAAAAAGTTTAATTAGTTATATGCAACTATTACTCCTAATTTTGTGTCTAATTTTTGCAATTCATGTGAAATTATGGAAGTCGTAACTTATTTTTTGAGCCAATTTTAATCATATATATATATATATGTATATGTATGTATCAGTAGGCAAGACTGTGGTCCGCGTTCTATATATATGCATCAATCATGAGCATATATATCTAGTCGACTTTAAAGTCATAATGGCAATTAAGTTCCTGTGCTCATGTTCTTGCTACCATTGCCGTCGCAGCTTTGGTTAGCTCACGTACAGCCGGGTGTGACCAAGAAATTAAGAAAAGAAACACTTGGTTCATTAATTTGCACCACATAAAAATATATATATGTCAGCATGGCTAACTAGTTAGCTAGTAGTAGTGTACAGAGCCATGAGAGATTTTCTGAAAACCCTAGTCGCCCGGGCCTACTGTTTTTGAAGTGCTTATGCTTAAGCATAGATTTCGATCTGAAATACTATCCTCAGGTAGCCTGAAACCAGGTTTGCACTATATCGCTTTAAATTCATCCATTCCTTTTACATGAAGCTTTTCATAAAGATTCAAATGGTTTAATTTCTCCCTTCTCCAGAAACGTACAATTAATTTGCAAGGACCACATGTCACCCGGTAAATGGCCTTTACCTGATATACATGGAGCATTTTTCCTTTTTTTTTTTTGGGATAAGTAATAATGGTCATTTTCATAGGAAGACACAATAGAAGATCACAGTAAAATTAAAATATCTGACGCTGATCAGATAATGGTGAATGGCCAAAGTCATACTAATTAATCATTTACTGCATGTTTTGTTGCAAACCGTAGTGTGAAACGTTGCCACTTGTCTGGACTGCGCATGCTTTCAAATAATGGGACAGGGGCTGGTTAATCATAACGATAGATAGGCGGTAATAAGGTGTCAGAGGATAAACTACTTTGTCAAAGATACCAAGCTAAAAAAGTTTTACAAATCTGGATATTCACAAATATAATTAAACAAAGAAACTACTTTGTAAGTTATTCCAAGCATTGTTAATTCTTGGCTAACTTTACTTATCTTTGTCTTCTTGGGAGTCATTTACTTTCTTTTTCATTTTAGGTTGGCTTTGATGAAAATGTACAGATATACGGGTAGTAGGAGTATTCAAATTACAAATTATATCAATATAAATTAAGCAGCCCTTACATATAACATAACACTGGCGGGTCTTGTCCCTTGGTGATCGATCTTTCTGTTTCCATGTCTGAAGTTTGAAGCTCTAGCTCTTTTAGCTGTATATATATTTAGATCCCACCAAAATTAGGAGAATGTTAGATCCTATATATATATATATATATATATATACAATGTACAAGGATGAAGATAAAAAAACGTGTGGATATATCGGCTTATCATATGTAGTATTAGTTGCTTTTGCTTAGATTGAATTTAAAACAATTGCTTGTAACTTTTGCTTTTGGGGGGTCTTTTCGAGATTGCCTTCTGTCACACAAAATTGTTTCCCAAAAGCTAAGCATAAGTGATGCCCCATAAAATGCAAATGATGTATCTCCATGATCACAGTTAAGAAGTACTTTTAGTCTTGATGAACAAGCAAAAAAAAAAAAAATGGAAAGAGAAAGCAACCAAGTTGATGGGAAACAATAAACTCCAATAATGTTTTCAACTAATATTTAATTTTAATAATATCATATATAGATATATAACTCTATATATGTTCATGTCTTTCATCATGTCTTTTGTTTCAGTTTTATTTTGCCTGTTTCTCTTTTTACCCCACCCTGCCAGTGCCAGGAAAGTGGCCCTTGATTGTGGAATGTGACGGCAATTGAATAAGACTGAACGGCAGATGGATATAGCACCTAAAATGTTACTGACCTTTTTGGATGATTCAATAACTCATCAGTTTGGGATGTGTTATTTCCCCATCTAGTGATGACCTGCCAATACACATAAAAACTTGTTTGTACGCGCACTTCTACCAATGATAAGCGAAGCAAACCATTTGGTTTTGCTTATTAGATGACCAAAAATATGCATATATGTCAGTCAGATTTTGCTCCTCACTTGCTCAAAATTTGACAACCAAGGCGATGGATACATGACCAGTCATCAACTCCTTTGTATGGAGCTCATGATCTTGATATTCCTGCTCCTAGCATGTCGCCCGCCAGTACTCTTTTTTACCACACTGGCAGCACCTAATTCATTGTACCTGAAAATCATGTGAGGGATATGGGTGGACCTAATAAATCACCAAAAAATATTTTGCGCATTTAGAATTATGCATTCAAAGTGCTAATTGCCTAATATTCCACTACTCCTTGTAGCCAACACTACTAATGATGATACGGATTCTCTTTCACAGGAAGAGGTTAGGCTTCAACTTGCTGATTGGGACCGATGTATTCTCAGATTATCTACAAAGTTTAGTGCAGAAAGAGGTTGGGAAATAAAGGAATCCATGCTAACAATAATCATCGAACTTTCTTTTTGTTTTTGCTCTTAATTACCTTTTTTGGGAATAATTCTTCTTCTCCATTTTCCCAATGCATAGGTAGCAAAATTCCAAATGGACCGCTCAGTATTGATTGTCAGATGCCCTTAGTTGGGTATCATGAGATACCTGCTTCACGTACGTAGAAAGAAAAAAGTGAAAAAGATGGCAGTGGACGGATAAAATTGCCTTCTACGCTCAGTTCAGACTTCCGAGAGTGATACTAAAGGGGTGGGTGGTGATGGAATGGAATGGAAGTGACCATCTCCTTTTTCAACGATAGTTATCTCCCTTAATTTAGCTTAATTTGGGGCCCAGAATCAGCCAGCATTTAAGTAATTACTAATGAGAAACAAATCATCCAAAAGAGGGCGGATATATATAATATAGAAATGGATGGATTGTGTGCAGATGCATGCATGCTTGGAGCTGCTGCTGTAACAAGTAAAGCAGCTGGGCCGCTGTGCGTACACAATTAAGCATCATCTAAGGGCATTAAAAGACAACCAAGCTTTAACTGAACATCAACTTATTGGCTCAATGTCCGATGCCAGAGATACTGTGGAACTTTAGAGACGATCGATAACAAACCAACATTTACTTTTACAGCTATAATTACATAACCATCAGTACTGCTGTTTGATCTATAATTATTTACTATTAGTTCTAAATCTTTGTTTCGAAGTTGTTTCAAGTTAGCGTAGTACTAATTAAGTACTACTTCATCAATATTACAAAATTTAGTTGAAATCTGAAAGGAAATAAATTTACAACCATCGGCCATCAGCTGTACTGCATGCTGTAGGTATTAGCCAGTAATAGTATATATCAATATCAATGGGCCTTGCAGTTGCTTCACTACGAAACCCATTGATCAGTGATCAGTGCAATGGAAAAGAGGAACATACTCTTTGTGATTGGTGCTATCTTTCAGATAATTGGATTCCAACTTCTTTCTCTATTTTTTTTATGGGAATAATAATTCCAATTAGGTGTAAAATAATAATAATAAAATAACAAGTTTAAAATTTTTTTGAGGGAAAAATAGAAGTTAAAATTACAGATTCCAAACAATAAATTGCCATGTCATATATATCTTTGGTGGCTGATACCATTATTTTGTTACTTGAAATTGGTATTTAATGGTAATTTTTTTTATATAGCATACGAATATTTTGGTATGGTATAGGTTGCCAAATATAGGCAATTAAACTTTCCCAATCGGGATGCTAGAAATAC